CCTAAGGGTTCAGAAAACCATAGAATTTACTAGATTTAAAATGGGGTGTCTACATTTACCCCTCTTTGGCACACCCTGTCCTTCGAAGGACATCTGAGTGGCAAAGAAGTAGACACTTTGGCGTTTCATGTCCTTTGAGTGGCAGGTGAACGTCAAAGATAAAATAGACATTTTAAATTTCTTCTTGAGGTCATGTGGTCCGGGGGCACACCAATTATTCATCTAAGTCATTGCGCTCACTGAGTTCACCCACTTAGGGCATTTTTCCTCTTTGGGTTTTCGACGTGAGATGTCGGTGAGTTACACAAGCTTAAAACTCGAGTTGGATTTTCTAGCCATGCCACTTAACTTCAGGGGTTTTGTAGTTTGAATTTTTAACCCTAGTATTTTATTTGATCTCTTTAGGGTTTCTTAAGGCTGTCTATAGGAAAAGGCTTTATATAGGAAGAGACTTGTCTGGCCGAATCCGAAGTGAGAAACGAGGCAGCAACGCGGCAATCATCATATATGGGTGTCCAAGCTCCTTCATTTTTTGAGACTTTTTTTAGAATTTTTGAAAGTAGGGGGAGATTTGAAATAGAACCCGGAGCAATGACAGGTTACGATTTTTAACAAAGAAATAAAAATTTTTGAAAAACACAAGACGTAAAGTGAAAATTTTGAAAATGAGAGATATTTCGAAAAACAAGGCTGGTTAGCAGTTTTAACTCCTACAACCATAGAGCCCTCTAAGCTGTTTAGCATCATGCAGCAATGGACCATACACCCGACCCTTTTACGTCAATATGGGGATAGACGGAATCCATCGAACAGGGTGGTTGTGCCCTGGATACACCCGACCTTTTTGCGTCATACGGGGCTAGACGGTACTGACCTCGGCTCTTTTACGGCGCACGAGTTTGACATTTTTCCATCGAATAGGGTAGTTGTGCCTTGGATACACCCGACCTTTCACGTCATACGGGGATAGATGATACCTACTTCAGCTCTTTTACGTTGCACAAGTTTGACGTTTTCCATTGAAACAGGGTGATTGTACCCTGGATACACCCGACCTTTCACGTCATACAGGGCTTGACGATAATTTTCTCTGCTCTTTACCGTTACACAAGGTTGACATTTTTTCATTGAACGAGATGGTTGTGCCCTAGATACACCCGACCTTCCACGTCATACCGGCTGGATGGTCCCTGTCTCGGCTCTTTTATGTCACACGAGTTTGCTTCCATTGAAACAGAGTGGTTGTGCGCTGAATACACCCGACCTTTCACGTCATACGGGGGTAGAAAATATCTACTTCGGCTCTTTTACGTCGCACAAGTTTGACGTCTTTCCTGTCTCAGCTCTTTTACGTCGCACAAGTTTGGCATCTTTCCGGTCTTGGCTCTTTAATGTCGCACAAGTTTGACGTTTTTTTTTTTTCTCCTGTCTCACTCTTTTATGTTGCACAAGTTTAACGTTTATCATGTCTCGACTCTTTAGCGTCGCACGAGTTTGACGCTTATCCTATCTCGGTTCTTTAACGTCGCACGAGTTTGACATTTATCATGTATCAACGCTTTAACGTCACACGAGTTTGACGCTTATCATGTCTCGACGTTTTACGACGCACGAGTTTGACGTTTTATCATGTTGCGGCTCTTTTACGTCGTACGAGTTTGACGTTTTATCCTGTCTCGGCTCTTTTACGGTGCACGAGTTTGATGTTTTTTGAATTGGACTTTGGGACATCGTACACACACACGAGGATGAGCTTGCCTCATTTTGCTTCAGGGGATCCAGTCAAGAGAAAAACACTCCCAAACTAGCCAATATCATCATTGGTGAAGTTCACCCATCTCCGATATGTGGTAGTTAGTAGTTATACTCATACAACCATAGATTGCCTGGCTAGTTTCAAGCCTTCATAACAGGCATAGGAAGCTAGCTTCGAGAACGAGGCTAGATCGACTAACAGTTTAACCTCTTGTAGTGATGGAGAAAGTCCTTTCTAAAAGGGTTTTGGAAATTGAGGGTCTTAGCAATCAGATTGAAAAATCGTTTTTAAAAGGGACGGGCCTTACAATTTTGCCACCTGTGGCCCCTTTGGTGGTCATTTTCTCTATTATATTTTACCCAAAGATGATGAAAGGATTTCCTTGTGGGATCGTGAGAACTCAAAAGTCTCGAAGTTGTCTTTTTACCTTTGGAGCTTTCATCTTTTGCTTCGCGAGTCCATGAAGAGTTCTCTGGATTCTTGATGAACTTCCATCTTGAAGAGGTCACGTTCTTCCAGGATTCGTTGAAGTCACTTCAATTTTCCATTCATATCACGCTCCCGCATCTTTCTGAGTTGGTTCTATTGGGAACCTGTAGGGTTTAAGAGGAGTCTTCGTCCTCAGGGTCTGCTTGTGCCGTATTATTGGGACTTGCAAGTACTTGTTTGTCCTAAAGTGTTTTTCAATCAGAAGTTCTTTTCTGGAGATTTTTTTTTTTTTTTACACCCATGATGCTCTTTCTGGTTTTCACCACGTCTTTTTTTTTTGTTTTTTTTTTTTTGTTGATGCCTTTTCAGGTTTTCGACACTCTTTTGACCCCGTTACGGGTAGTATTTTCTGAGATACATCGCATTGATGGGGTTGTTGAGCTCGCACCCCTCCTGATTCTTCATTTTGTAAGAATTGTCTACGTGCGCTCGGGTGACCACGAATGGTCCCTCCCAATTAGGTTTGAACTTGCCTAAAGGGTGTAGGTTTACAGGAGTGTGGAAGACATTATTTGAGTACCATGTCTCCTTCCCTAAACTATTGAGGAACAACTTTACTTTAGTATGCCTTCTTGATTCTTGATTCTACGCTGGTACGCAACAATATTTTGTGTTGCTCATAGTCGTCTTTCATCCAAATTAATGAGGGCAGAGATTCGTGCTTCGATCTTTTGTTCTTTAGCTAAATCTTTATGAATAAGCACTCAAAGAGACGTATCTCAACTTCAATTGGTAACGCTGCTTCCATATCATACACTAATGAGTACCGGGTCATGCTCAGTTGTCCGGTAGGCCCATAACGCGTCATTTAGCTTTTCGTGCCAATCTTTGCCACCTTCTATTATTCTGTCTATAATTCTGAGAAGTCCTTTGTTTGTAGCATCTGCTTGTCCATTCCTTTAGGGTAGTAAGGTGTGAAGAATTTCTACGTTATCCCAAACTTTTTGCACACCTTAGAGACATTTTTATTTTTGAGATTGGATCCATTGTCAATAATGATTTACTCGGGAACACCAAACCTGAATACAATATTGTTATTTATGAAACAAACAACATGTTATCCCTCAATTTTGACAAATGATCCGACCTCTACCTATTTGGTGAAGTACTCTGTAGCCGTTAATCTAAAACAGTGGTTGTTTGAGGCTTTTGGAGAGATTATTCCGATGATATCAAGACCCCACATGGAAACGGCCTATACAGGCGATGTTGAGTTGAATGGTACAGACGGTGCATGGATGAGATCTCCATAAAGCTGAAATTTAGGACACCTCTTTACAAACTTCCAACAATCTTCAACTATAGTGGTCCAGTAATAGCCTTAATGCTTGATTTTTTGAGCTACGGCGGCTGCGCCAGAATGACCTCCTTCATTGTATAACTCTATCAATACTTGGTCGATTTATGGCTAATCAATATACCGTAGAATGATGCCATCGAACGACTTTTTTAACAAGAGATCACCTCTTACTAAAAATCCCATAGAAAACCTTCGAATGATTTCTTTATCCTTTTTGGTGGCTCTTTCAGGGTATAACTCATCTTTCAATAATGACAAAACATCGTGAAACTATGGTTTTGTCTTAACTAACGCATTTGAAGCCATGGGATCCAAATTTTGGACCTGGATACTATTTATGTCCGGGTCCGACTGGCGAGACCCAAACCCGTACCCGTAGTTATAAGGTATATGATGACCATCATGTGTCTCTAGGTGCACGCTAGGTGTTCATATTGTCACAATATTAACAATATTTACAGTATTATTGGAAAAAAAAAAAAAGAAGCTCATAGGGTATATGATAGTTAAAAAAAAGGGGAAAAAAAAGAAGAAAAAAGCTCACTTATAGGGTGGGAATGGATACCACCGGATCTAAGACCCAATGGGTAGTCCTGGGATTCAAATTTTGGACCCAAATGCTATTCGAGTCTGGGTCCAGCCGTACCCAACGCCACCCCTAGGACCAAGGGGGGATATGTATAGTATGTTCCCAGGGAAGCATAGTACACATGGTATATTAGTTAACATTTGTGGAAACTCCCTCCCCTCTCATTCCAACCTTCTTCCCACTCTGAGGTCTTATTATATTCCCAGAACATGCCCGTTATCACTCCTGAAGGGCTACAAATTCCATGGATGACTTGCCAAATGTTGCTCGTTCACACATTAGTGTAAGAGTAACTTCTCTTGCAAATAGTCAATTGAAGACTAAACCAAGATCAGCAAAGGCTGACAAGAATTTGTCTTTAATAAAGATTACTACAGCATCTTTCCAAAAGCATAAGGGAAAAGTTTATATAAGGTTGGAACCTTAAAATGTAGAATCAGATTCACCTCAAAAATATATCGGAAATATTGTTTTGCTGTTGACAAAACACGCTAGTCGATCATCTCGACATCGAAATGTATGAATATAAAAAAAAAGTTTTTGAGTCCCGAAAGTAGTGCATCTTGCAACAACTAGCTAGACCATCCCTTTGCAAGATTTTCATATATTTATAAATCTACTTGATTTTAACCATTTTTAAAATTTAAAATTTTCTAATTAGGTATGAAAATAGATTTTAAGATAATACTAAGAATGTTTTACAACAAAACTACATGTTATGATAAAATTTTAAGGTGCGCCTTAATTGGATTGTTTAAGGTTGCAACCTTATAGAAACCACACCCAAAGAATAATAAGACAAATAGGAAAGAGACAAGAATAGGAAAACAACAGGAAAAACTGAAGGAAATAAAATAATAAGAGACTGGAAGGCAAGTTGAACCCTTTGTGGTCTTGAGTTTCGGATTGAATTTCTAAGCTTCCAATGCCAAGTTTTGCTTGAAAGGAATAAAACCACTCATGGTTCTTTGATACAGATATGATGATAATGACCTGATCACAAATCTCATGGATACTTCTAATACAAAATATCTAAAAGTACATTTATTTGGAACAACAAAGCTAAAGCAATCACAAGAGATTTATTTCTCCATAACTGTTTGAATAACAGATTAATTTGGCAAGAGGCTCAAAACCTAGTCAGAGGCTATCATGATGTAGATCCATATCATACTCACTCTACTAATCAGTCGGTTCTATACCATGTACCTCCATGATCAATATATGTGTATGAGTTGCTTTTCTGCATCCTTGTTCTTTGCGTAATACTGAACTTCTGCCTGCAAAATCAACCAAAATGTCTAACTATCAAAGTAAAAAGGGATTGTACACTATAAGACCATTCCCTATTGGTATAAGGAGGTCACAATCATTCGTAGCTATGGGATGTAACTTCCGACAGCTTAAAGTATAATGTGATCAACAGAAATTAGGAAGTTTTGTCTAAATTTTACATTGTTTATTAGAAACTATTACATCATATGCAATCAACAGAAATTGAAAACATGCACAGCATCAGCTGAAAAGAATCAATCGAATGTTTAATGTTTACACATGCATACACAAAAAGAAGCCTCCTTCCTTGATTGCAAAATAATACTGACTTGATTTTATTGTACTGCTAATGTCAGTGATCATGTGAAAACATTGTAAGAAACAAAATACTAGCAACATTGAAAACATTGTAAGAAACAAAAGTGTAGCATATGGTACTATAAAGTACCATTCCTTACGTGAGCAACCTCCTTGGGAATGAAATCGGAAAGCCACCTGACATGTGCCAACAGTATTCCCTACCTGATGCCACCAAAGAGAACTACGGCACTTCACCTAGTCCTTTGAGATTTTCTTCAATAATTGGTTGTTTAGTCCATTGCTTTTTGATCTCCCTCTCATTGGGTGGTACATAATATTGGACAAAGAATAAATAATAGATAACTTAATGATACCAAGCATATGTAAGTGGAGACAATAAACATCTGCTAATTCATTGTCCCATGGCAAGCAACATATGGGAATAGTTTTTGAAGTTCGAGGATTCAGTGGGTCACTCCTGATTCAGTGGAGGAATATAGTAAAGCAATGGATCTTCCAATTGTTGCCCAAGCACAGACTCTTTTGATGAAGAACACGCAGTCTTCCTATTGCTAAAGGTATGATCATTCCATGGGCTAGGGTGGGAAAAGAATTCTTGGGATACTCAGTGGTGAATTTTAGAAGTCCAGTCAATTGTCAGAAGTAAATCAAGAACTGGAAGGTGTGCAATGACATGGGTTCCACCAACAGGAGCATTGAAGGTGATCTTTGATGGCAGATCTTTAGGTAACCTGGATCCAACAAGTAGGGGTAGCTACTGGGTTGGGGCGATCGCAACCCAACAGGTCAACTTGACACAGGTCTGGGTTTGGACCCAAATAATTGACCCGGTGGGTCGGTCTGGGTCCAAATGACCTGGACTCAACCAAGGTTGGGTTTGGCTCTGGGTCCATCCTGGATATTGTCAGGTTGGGTAGGGCCCAGGCCAGGTCGGGTTGGTCCAATGACATGGACCCAACATGGATCTAGCTTGGGACTAGGTCAGGTCGATGGGGACCCAACCTGACCCATTAACACCCCTACCAGCAAGCGCGTGGGGAATATAAGCGACCATCAGAGAAATCTTCCTGACAGGCCGCAACAGAGAAGCTAATGAATTGCTAATGAAATTACTCATCAGTTGAGGGGTTCAAAACACCTCTCTTGATGTCCAAGTTTTTGTAGTTCTAGCTTGGGACTAGGTCAGGTCGATGGGGACCCAACCTGACCCATTAACACCCCTACCAGCAAGCGCGTGGGGAATATAAGCGACCATCTGAGAAATCTTCCTGACAGGCCGCAACAGAGAAGCTAATGAATTGCTAATGAAATTACTCATCAGTTGAGGGGTTCAAAACACCTCTCTTGATGTCCAAGTTTTTGTAGTTATTAGAAGCCCATAAACGGGGTCCCAATTCTCTGAACATATACTCCACATGCTTAATTTTAACAATGAGGTTATATTAACCATCCCAAAAAATAAAAATAAAAATAAAACCTTAAACTGGATAGAACTAAACCACAACGAGGTAAGTTGGAGGCAAGAGACTTCCAAATACAAAAAAAACAATCTTCACTTAACATAAACCAATGAAAATGAAACAGGCATTTATCCTAAGAGAATAAATCTACAAGGAGGTTGAAACAAACGTTTTTCCGAGTTCATCCATCAATAGAAGAAAAAAAAGTTCAGAAATAAAAGAGTAGTTGGTAAAGACATTAGTTTGTGTACCTTGCGAACCCCGATAACAGCAGTCGTGACTTTTTGTCCAATGAAATCTCTTATGATTTCATCTCCTTCCAGAGCAATTATTGATTCATCAAGTAAGGTCGGAAGCCTTTTAAGGTCTCCTTCGAGACTACATGGATCTGTGTCTGTTCCCATAATAGAAAACACAATCACCAATCCATTTGAACTACATTAAATAATTAGAAATCTTCTTCTCTTTGACAACCAACATAAATATTCAATTACCCAATGGGTCATCTAGAGGGGAAATTTGACGAGCAATAGGTAAACATTTTAAGGGAAAACAAGATAACAAAATCAAATTGCTTAATAAATTAAATAAAATAAATTCCCGTAGACGCACAATCAGAGAAATCTAAAAAATCAGTGTAAATTGCAGGCTATTTGTGTTCTCAATAATGCAACATGTAACCATGACAACGACTTTTATGCAATCGCACCATCCCTCTCTTCCCTGTGATCAGTTCACCATGAGAATGGCTTCTATGCACTCCCTCCCTCTCTCCTCATGGGTTCACTCCACTTTGATATATTCTAAATGCAGTGAACAAGTCCCCTATGCCTCCCTCCCTCTCTGGATACTCCATAAACAATTAACAAGCCTGTTTAATGTCGATTTGACTCCACATGCATAGATTTCATTTTATTTGTGATTATACACCATTGGCAGATGCACCGCATCACAAGGGATAGTATGGATTCGTTGGATTAGTGAAACACCTTGTTGACCCTCATGTACAGGATTTGTTTGACTAGTGGGACACATTGTTCATCCTCATGGACAGCCAACGTACTTTACGAGATATCAATTCACAAGTATGAAAACCACTAATTGAAAAAGTAGTGGAATATTGGACAAAACAACTGAGATTCATTTGCAAAAACAATTTCAGACTGGTCATCAACTTCAAGCAAAAAATTGACATTAGGATTTTAATGCAACTTACTAAAAAATTAGCTCTCAATAAGCATCAGGGATGTCGCAAGAATCCAAAGAAAACACAAAAGAGATGGTTTTTGCTTTTTTGGGAGCACAATGTACTGATTCTTAAAACCTTCAATGTACATATAAATGTATAATGAAGATGAAATGGAAGAAATGAATATAATACCTTGAGAAAGAGGTGGAAACTAATCTCAAGTTATTCAATTTTTTATGTAGAGGTGGAAACTAATCTCAAGTTATTCAATTTTTTATGTAAAATACAAGAGAGCAAACAAGAAGGTTGCATTTTTTTATCTTTTTGATTCTCACTAGATATGTCAAATTCTTCCAGCAAAGGCTATAGGAACAAACTTTACACACTGCAATATCTTTTTTCTTCGAGCATAACAATATGCAGACGTACCAATGGGCTCTGGAAGTGTGAGTCTTCTCCGGAGGCCATCTATGCCAGCTGCCATAATTGCAGCCAGACCTAAGTACGGGTTAGCACATCCATCGAATACTTTAACTTCAAAATTGCTAACCACCTCATTAGCTATGCCAGGAGGGCATGCTGTCCTTAGTGGAGCTTCTCTGTTTTCTTTTCCCCAGCAATGATATGCTCCACTCCACATGCTTGGTTGAATTCTATCATAACTGCAAACAAATGTATGGTTCATCAAGAAGCAAGATATAGAACAGAGTTCAAAAATTAATCGCAATGAGGCAAATATGTGTAAGAATCACATGGTATGTTGGATCCATATCCAAACAAGTGCGTTGTGGGTGAGAAGCAAGGCATCTACTCATATCAAATGTACTAAACAAAGTCAAGGAAAAGTTTTATGACATTTCAAGGTGAGAAAGAAAGTTCCATTGCCCACAAATTTATGGGCATTAGCACCTTCAATAATTCTAAAATCTCAAGATTCTGAAGCAATCAAGACTGAAATAAATAGTACAACTTGCATCGTGAAAGGAAGGATGTCAATTACTGCACATTATCAAATATTTTCTACAAACTACAGAAATAAACAGAAACACACCTATTAGGCAATGGAGCTGTAAATGCCATAATAGCAGGCAGATGATGGAAGACTCCAGCCATGAAAGATTCTCCAATGTTTGACATTCCATACTTTGTCGACGTACCATCGACAGCCATGAATTTATTCTTTCCATTCTCCCACAAACTTAGATGCACATGAGTTCCTGAACCCAGATCATCAGGAGATAATCTGGAGGATATGGCAAGAAGGATATTATTTGCTTCACAAAATCAAAACACAGAGCCAGATATTTATCAAAATGATAAGATACACAAGACATGAGTGGGTCACGCACTCTCCATGAAAGCTGCTGTTTATTTTCTTTTTCCATGAGATTTGGATATAGAGGCCCTTGTTGGAGAATGAAAAAGTAATGGAACAAATTGTCTTAAAAAACACATCAAATTCTGAAGTATACAGAGAGTAAACAAATAGTAGTACTGAAATCTCTCAGCTCAAGATACATTTCCACGACAATAAATCTGGTCATAAGCTCTTCGAGTCTGTAGTAACATTTCAAGGATAATAAATGAAATGACTATCAATTTATCAATTATATGAGGTTAAACTCTCCAGAGATTAGTACATTTCAAAAAAAGCAACGGATTTCTTTCGATAAAGTGCTAAACTGCTAAACTTGCAGTAGATTTAGGAAATAGTGGTCTGTTTTTTTTTTTTCTCAAGTGATTCAGGGGGCATTTTCCCAGGCTCACCATGACAATAAAATGATAAATGTAAATTTTCTAGATGTTTAAAGTTAAAGAAAAATAAGTCAGCATTTTGCAAGTTATCAGAGATCTTAATTAGATGATTGAAACTCTAAAAACTTCCAAACCATCTATTGAGACCCTGTAAATACCATGTATGCAGCTCTCCCATGGATGGATCAATACCATCAGGCAGATTTATTTCTAAGACCAATGACCCTCTGCCACGCCTGCAACTCTCCCAATAGGAGATAAAAATCATCAAAGGCAGATTTATTTCTAAGACCAATGGAATTGAAAACTTCCCAAAAAATTGCCACAGGGTTTGAATTTTACTGTAGCTGCATCATCTGCCCACCCTAACGATTATACATACGGTTTGGGACTTCGGTAGAGATTCAAACCATAGTTGTTGAAAACGCCTACGAACCCAAATCATTTTAGGAACCGGAATAGTGGAATTGTGGCCGGCTAGAAGATTCATGTCTTAGGAATCGTTGTCCGTACAATAGGAATCGTTGGGAACGAGATTCCTAGTTTTTGAGAATTGTGTTTCAACCGAAATAGATCTAAGTTTCATCCACATATGGAATCGAGATTCCCATCCCCTTGGAATCGACACTCCAAGAGTCAAGATTCATTAATATGCATAATCGAGTTTCTGACATCTATGGAATCGAGTTTCTGACATATGTAGAATAGAGATTTGTTGTTGTTTCGAGCATACGTGGAACAGAATATATGGATCAGAGATCCATGCTAGTTTGATATCGAGATATACAATAATATGGACCATGGAATGCATTTGACGACCCCTACTAGGAATCGAGATTTCATTTTTATGGAGAAAGAGGCCACAAGGATATCTTGAGCCTTATCAACTTTAGAACCTATATTGGATGTCTCTTATTAGCAGGTTTCCCAAATTTTAAAGTGATTGTGTTGACTATTGAACTTACGGTCATTAATATACAAAAAGAAAAGTATTTCAAAATTATGATTTTGACTTCATTATTATAAAAACAAAATAGAATTATGTCTATGCCATCCCTTTACTTTTAATTGTATGTCTTGTATTTACCAATTATATTTTAAATTTAAAGCAAACGCTTCCCAGTGTGGCACAAGTAAAATAATGAAACCTTGCAACCACTAGAAGCATTCAAAGGAAGATTTCTACTCCAATTTCCTTTAGGAAGTGCATAACCATCATAGACATTGGATATTATGTACTTTGAATTGGTGTATCAATTAACAAGGAATCAGTTGACGTGGAATCAAGATTTAATCCTCGCGGGGAATCCATATTCGATATATTTGGGAACATCTGCCCACAATCAATGGGTTCAAATTTCTAAAGATGTGTTGGATCGAGATTCTGAAAGAAATCGAGTTTCCTTGGTTTCGATAAATGGTTTCTAAAGATATGTTGAATCGAGATTCCAAAATTAAGGAATTGAGTTTCCTTGGTTCCGAAAAATGGTTTCTAAGGATGTGTTGAATTGAGATTCCGAAATTAAGGAATTGAGTTTCCTTGGGTCCAAAAAACAGTTTCCGTGGAGATTCCTTAACGGAAACACGGAATCGGGTTTCAGAACTGGAAATGCGAGGTCGTTGGAGAGATTCCGGTAACTATGATTCAAACTTAAGGACTTTTATTTCCCTCTATTTAGTTATTTATTCATTTTTATTATCATCATATTTCTTCATGTGGTTTACAGAATAATCAGGAGTATGCATTTTGTTCAAGTCATCTCTAAAGCTACACGTTGTGTACTATGGGCACTTATCATATGACTTGATGGATGGTGTATCTCATCGCTATTGAGTGCTCCAATCTCAGGCCTAATTTCTAGGCTGTTCACAAAATAACCGAGAGATGCCTAGTCATCTTACTGGAAAATCATGTCTGCAGGTTTTTTTTTTGGCTGCCTGAAATTAAGTGTTGAGAAGAATAAATATGTTTTCATCATCATTTTACTCAAGAGCTCTGCAAGAGCCAAGAGCTGCTGTAATGCAATCTATATGTCGATTACCTCAAACATCAAAATTGTTCCAATTTCACCAATACAATAAAATATTTAGTTACTTACACTATAGTAGTTAAGAAGTTAAGATATGCCAGTTTTCTTTAAGCAGGCAAGACCAACCTGGTAAAATGACTGGCTATACCAAGGCAATCAACTCATTGAACCTTGAATATATCCAAGCATGACATTTGAGCTGAGCAGAAAAGTCATATCAGGAAACTATTTACGCATGGTGCGAGAAACACTAAAATCTGCTAACTAATAAATCTTTAGTTTAAGAAAGAGTAAAATCTGTGCAATTTTGACCTTGTATAGCTAGAGTCAGGGTTTAGATTTGATGCCATGTCTATACAACTCAGATATGGGAAATCGTACTTAATTAGTCAATATTGAGAGGTTAAACCCCATGTACACAACTCCACAATGCTGATACAAACTCAATTCATGATGGACCTTAGTGTTGCACATGTCATAAGAAAGGACGTAAAATGTCAAAATAAATAAAACAGTTAACAAGCAAATTCTAACTAATTATCCAAATGACAATATTAGGAGTCAAGAAGGCATTAAGATCATCCAAAGATTCATGGAATACTCCCACCTACATTGGTAGCAAGTCCCTTGTGTTTTAGTAACATAAAATTTGGATCGTGAGACTAACAAAATAATTCTAAAAACAAGGTTGCTGCATCCAAACTTAAAATTTAGCAATTATAGAACATGACAAACTGTGGATGTACTTAGGTAAGAAGGTTGCCAATAGTCCATATTTTCTCGCGATTGCCTTTATAGCCTCTCGAGCATAAATCAACTTGTCAGCAGCGCAGGTACAAATTTTATGCCCCAATGCTATTTCGAATTGGCCTCTACCACCTTCTGCATGCACCTAAACACAGGAGTGATGGTCAGAAAATCATAAAAGAGTAACCAAAGTAAATTTAATTCATGATTATCATAATACACCTCAATTATACATCCCGGATTTCAAAGCAACTCCTACATTTATTCTTCTTCTTTCTTATTCCCTCTTTTGGGGGAAGAAAATACATTCAATCAATAATTAAGTAAGCAATACAGAAAAATACAACACATGGACTAAGAGTAATTTGAATTGAATAGACATGAGACCTTTAGTAATAGCTTTCCAATATCACTAACAAGGACAGATCATGCAAATTATCTCAGGGTCAGAGGTCGCACTTTGACAAGTGTGGAGGAAGTCTAACGTGTTGGCAGATTCTTAGCCAATGAGGGGGGTAAAAAGGAACAGGCCCTCACCCTGAGCCTCCTTTGGAGATACATGCCAGAGAGAAGTTTTCAATCTCCTACTTGTCTTGAAATTATGGGGAGGGACTTCCTCATTTTCACTTATTCCCACAAAAATGAACAACAATACACATGAATATATTTTTTTTTCAAATTCATCCAAATTTGAATGTACATGATCCTTTTAAAATTTCAGTTCAATGAAAGAAGTACATTTAAATGAACATTCAACATCTCTCTCTCTCTCT